TTGAACCAGCGACCTGGGATCATCACAGACACTGCCACTCTTTCACCACTAAAATAAGACCTTTTTAAAAAGTTTTGAATTATTTGCAGATTTATCTGCTTTTGCTGCCCAAAAATATATTTGAAAAAAGAAATACTGTACTAGTTGAGAGTTTTGCTATGGCAAGCATCGGTACAATATCAAGAGGAGGACTGGTTAAAAGGTACAATGTGATTAACATGAAATATTCCTGTGCAGTTGTGTGTTTACTTGTCAACAGTGTAACAGTGATGTTAATAAACTGTACATAATTGGCTTGTTCACTTTGTTAAAACACTTCTTGTAAGGTTTTATCAAATTATTATTTATTTATTGTTTTTTAATGAAAATTGTATTCTTCCATGTTCAAGTATATACTTTGAAATGGCACATTAGTAGCTATCATATAGTATTACTAAAGTCAAAGTAGTTATTTGGAGGAGGTAGATGAAGTGTTTGGATTGGTAGTAAGGAATGGGAGGCTAGATCTTTCTGATGCAGTGCAACTACCTAGCAGTCTTGTGTTGTACACATTTTTCTAATGATCCACTTCACAGCAAACACAACAAATGCTGCATGATGCAGGTGTTTAGAGCAAATAGCAAGAAGAATTTGGGTAGTGGTTCAAGCCACACTGATGAAATGTGCACAACCTGTGGAAAGCATGAGCATCATTATGTAATGTGTGTGTGAACATTAGAAAATACCTAGCTTGTATATACACGCGGAAGTGAAGGTTCTCCTTTTGCAGTCCCATATACAGTGGTCAAAGCTGGTAAGGATATGCAGTGTGGTAAATGAGAGCATGAATCTGATTAGGTGTTCTGCTGTTCTTTGCATTGACTCTGGACTTAAGTGTTGAGCCTTCCCAGCTATCTAGCAAATTTTCATGACTTGGAGCTTGCTTCCATTGTCTTTATTTTTATATATTTTTTTTATAACATTTTATTCTCATATATTTATTATATTTATTTATTTATTATATTCACTTATTTATTTATGTACTTATTCTTCATTACTGCCATTGAAAAGTGCTACAAGAAATATTTTTAAAATGTTGCTGGCTTAAGAAATGTTTTGGGGGGACCTGAATGTAGACGATCAAAAGATCCTCCTCAGCACTAGAGAAAATGGGAGACGATTAGGAATGTATGAGTTATGACCATGACTCCATGATCTGCAGTACCACGGAAAGCTCACCATTAGCTTTTAACTTACCATATTGGCCTAGGGAACTCAGGATTTTTTCCCATAGCAGTTTCACTCATACGAGGGTACTTGTTTCTAATAGCATGAGAGTATACACTTTTAATACACAGTATGTGACTAGTAAATAGCCAAACAATAGAAAATCAGAAGTAAAAGAGTGTTGTTTGCTAGATGTGAATTTGAATTTAAAAAAAAATGTAGACTGGAAAGAAAAAATGTTTCAGTGTATTTACTTAGTTTTCATTTTATAATTATTATACTGTCAAATCCACAAAGAGCGAGTGATTCCTTATGTAAGTTTTAAAGCAACAAAGTAAGTGAGAAATAGAAAAGGGTACTATTTTCCTCTTGCAAATTATTAAGAAGGTGTATGTATACAGTATTGAAGTAAGTTTGAAAGTAATCAAAATACATTTATTTGTTCTTCACAAAACAATACGAAAGTTAAAGCTGAATAGTCCAATGAAAAACAATGCTTAGAGGAATATTAGCTCTACAAAAACACATGCACTTGTATGTGTTTTAGATCTGGACTTGTGATAAGAGAATAGTTCAGTGAACAGATACTTTCAATAGAGTAGTGCAGAACATGGATAGCTGGTACTCACAACTGAGCACATGATTGTACAAAAATGTGATTAAAATGTAAATTACTTAAATTACCTCCATATCAGACCGGACACAATATAGCCACGCATAACAGTACAACTAGCGTTATACAACTAACCGATACAAGTGTATTCATATCCAGATAGATATCTGCATGTATGTGGGGGAATGCATGTGCATGCATGCAGTCTATTTGCTTCTTCAGTTTGTTCTTGTTGTGTTTTGTATTTTCAATCTTGATCACTAATTGGCATACTAATTTTTAGATGTATATCAGTTTTACATATTTTTATACCGGCTTCATCAATACCAACTTCAGACTCATCTTCATCATCCCTTTTTCACCTCCCATGGAATCATTTTGGATTATTAAGGGCTTATTCATGAACTTGGAACAGTGCCAATACGTAATACAACTAAGCCTTCAGGGAAACGTGCAGAGAAGATTGCTTGGGAACCTCGCAAGGCTCCCAAAACAGAAGTGGTTGCAACTGTTACTCTTTTACAAGTAGATAAATTAACAGTGTTCTTGCCTTTTGTAAATCTTGGTTACCCAAACAGTCACTGAGCTTATAAAAATTTGACAGCCATGCTGTTGAAAATGGAGCTTGCAGTTGAATTGAGTGGGTAGAGAACCAGCTGCAGATATTCTGTGTTGCTTTTTGTTGCATGCATATTAGCGTGTGTCCGGTAACAGAAACACACAGCATCGCCAACAGGTGGAGTGATGTATTGTGTTTGTCAAATTGATGTGATATGCTTGCATATTTGAAGGTGTTTTTGGTGGCTAATGGTCAGATATACCAGTTTCTTCTGGTTTTCTCTTCAGGCAGTTTAGCCACTTATATTATCCCAGTCAGTCACCCATTTGGTCTCCTTCTCATCTTTTAACTTTTCTCTCTTTACATTCTGAAAGAATTGAAATGAAGTATGCAGGAATCAAACATCAAGCAGTTCACTTCATCAGAAATGCTTTCAGTATAATGTTTGTGTTAGGATTCATGCCTCCATTGATAATAGAAATTTTGATACAAGTGCAAAGTTTTAACTTTTCGTGGAGAAAAAATGTTACTTGCTTTTTTTAATCTTTCTGTGAATAATTGTTTTTCTGTCATGGAACACTTCAAATGACAAACCAGATAATGCCTAAAAACTTTATGGGCATATATTGGTCACATCAGCTTTCAGGGGAATCATATCACATTTATCTAGAGTGATGACGAATGACCAGTCACACCATTTTTTCTGGACTTTCTGGGGTGTTAAAAAAGTTTGTTATCACTTCAATGATTCATATTTGTGAAGTGACTTTTTTCTCTGGAGCAACAGGTAATAAGTAATATTGATACATGAAAGAAAATCCTTCATACAGCTTGTATTTTGCTTAGATAGATATTTAAAATTATACATTATCTGAGGCAACATAAATCTGTGCTCTTTAGAGAAAGCATCCGAATTGGGCTTTATAGTTACTTGCCTGTGACACTCCAACAACGAGTCGATTTCTAAATGCAATGACTTTTGAGGCAAAATAAAGTAATTTTTCTCCAAACTCAGTTATGCAAAGCATATAATTGAAAATCAGAATCAAGCAGATGATTTCAGTCTTCATAGAAATGCAGTGATTTTTCATCTGTCTACATGTGTGTCTGATACCAATCTAATTTGATCCAAGTAAAATTGATGACACAGGAGCCATCCAAAATTTGTTTGCCTTAAAAGTGATACATGGTATGCTACATTGTTTCAGGAAGTTCAAGTGTCATTGTTGGTATTACTGCCTGCTATCCCTGTTAAAGAATGAGGAAAATGGGAAGAGGAACTTGTACGAAAGAATACCAGCAGTGGAGAAGCAGCTTCAGAGGAAAAAGGAGAGATTGTATAAAACTATGGCCAACATTATCTTGTAGAAGATATGTCTCATGCAAAGTACAATAAAAAAGCCAATGCTGAATTGACTCTCAAGTCAGTGTAATATGTTGCCAGTTGATGTTGTGACTGATAGTTTGTTGTAGTGCAATATTGATAAGGGAAAAAATCACAAAGAAAAGCAGTTCAGGTACTTAGACTGCGATGCTGTGTGTGGGAATCTGTTTGCTGCGGTAGGCAGTGCCATTTGATGTTTGATTACTTTTTCTTTCTCTCCTTTCTTTTTCTTTTCTTTTTTTTATGAGATTCTCCCCTCCTAGCATTTTAGATACCAGAGGCATTACTTATGGGACAATAGAGCGAGATACATAGAGAGCTCTCTTGCATGTCTCATGATGAGCAAGTTTAAGGTGATGCAATGAACTGAGACTTGACATGAGTAGTTGTCCCATTGAAGAAGAATAGTGTTGGGAGTGTCTGCACTTGCCATTTTGGTTCCATTTTGAAACACTGTGTGCATCAGGGCAGTGGAGTGTGCTTGTTCATTATTTCTGGACAATGCACACCTTCACTGGTAGATGTTTAGCTGCAATTGATAATTTGCATCTCAGTTGTAGTTGTACTTTTGTGACCCTAAATCATGTGTGTCCCTCTGTCTTTATATAAAGGAGGTTATCCAGCAGTGACAAATAACTTTTGAAATATAAAGGAGAAAGAGGAAAATCCTGTTCAGACTTTGGGTTTGCTTTCTCTTTGTACATGTATGTGAAACGGCCAGCAAAACTACTCTGATTAAAACTAGTCTATTCTGTGATTATAGAATTGATGTAACTACTTGTAGGTACAAAACTTGTGTTCGTAATTGAACCTATGGGTGTTTTCTTTCCATTATTTTACGATTTATTCATTCATATTCTTAACAGTATTCCCACCTATTTTTAAACTTTGAATATTGTTCACTGTTTTCTTATTTCTGTTTTTTGTTTTCTTTTAAGTAGAGATGGTAAGGAACTGGCTTATGATTGTTTTCCAACACATGTATGTTCAGCAGTGGGAAGATAGTCTCTTCATGGCAGTTGTATGGTGTCTGTACACTGTCTCCCCTGTTAATATCTTTCACTCAAATGTAAACAGTGATTGATACCGAGTTTCAAGAAAATGAAAAAAAAATGCCTCTGTCAGTTTATTTATTTAGTTTTAATTTTTTGCGGGTTGAGAAGGGTGGTCCATTAACCAAGACTGAGTGTAAGAAGGAGAAGAATTTCCCTGCTTAGTGTCATAGACTTTTTATTCCTATTACATTTTTAATAGGACCAGTTTATTGTGTTTATGAAACAGCAGCAAGGGATATGTATGTATAATCTAGGAAGTATGTTACAGTTATACCCTGACACTTGTTTTTCAAATTTTCTAACACCTTAATGAAAAAAGATTAGTAAAAAAAAGGGGGGGGGGGATTTTGGGATTATAAATTCTAGAAAGTGAATGGGAAAAAATAAAATACAAAAATATAGTAGATTATCTGCTCGTCAAGGGAAAATGTTTTTTACATTGAGTTTGTGGTCTTAAGGTAATCAAGGGTCGACATATGTAGTCTGTGACTGCGATTACTGCAGCAAAGCATCTTCAGGAGGCAAGTCCAGTATTTAACCCTGACTCCTTCCCTTAAAAAGGTTTGTTTGAGAGTGAGGCATTTCACAAAGCAGAATGAATAATTGATATTATTATTTTACAATCCTCTTTTTATATTTAGTAAAATCAGTATGTCAGCAACTCATTTTACCATGTGAAGTTATTCATTCTCATTCATAGCTTTTTCAGCAACTGTCACAGTGTGTTCTTTTCATCTTACATTATCCTATTTTGTATCATAATCATCATTTACTTTTCACTATAATTTCTGCCAGACTTTTTTCAGTCATCTGATTGACTTTCTTCCCTGTTTTACTGTGTGCCTTATTTCTTCTCCATTACTTTTGTTTACGGACAGCTTACATTATCCCTCTTCCACACTCCTCATCACATTCCTGGTATAAAACACAAACCGGTGAATAGCAAAGATGCACATTAGGGTCACCTCAGTATTAATCAGTAGCCCTGTGTTGAATCTGTACTTTGAGTTATTCTTATGCCTTGGTTTGTGGGTTATTTTATTTTCCTTCTTTTTCATTTGAGATGCAAAAGAGAAACGATACAGCTATATCCAATTTTCCTTCCATTTACCCAGAAATAAGGCAGTGTATTTTTTGTACTTTGTTTGCTTGATGCTGGACTTGCCTACTTCCTGTTTTTTGTCATGTTTTATAACCACTTTGTTGTCAGCTTTTTATTATTTACTGATACTATCATCATTATTATTATTGTTATGAATATTATGATTATTATTTACATATATTTTTTATCTTTATTATTGTCACTTGTATTTTGATTGTTGTTTTTACAAATATTATGATTAATCTATATTAGACGGCAGTATTTTTGTTAGTATGATATTGTCTTCTATTGTCAATGATGTAGCAACATTTAGACTGCTGCTCCTCAGTAAGTTCCGTAATCTCCACAGCGGGATATTTTAGAATGCATAAAAAAGATAAAACATAGCATGAGTTCATTGTCAAATTATGTGAAAGTTTGGAAGTAGTAAAATTATTTTTTGTAAAGGATTTGTCTTACTGCCCTTCATATCTTTTAGACACCCCTCTCTTTGGTATTATCGTCCCTAAAGTGTTTAAAGGAAGAGAGGGCTTGATATTATTCCATAAACACTTCACCATTACAAATCCAATCATTGGCAAATACAGAAAACTTTATATGGTGGCTTTATATATACAGGAAAAATAATATTCATCTATGGTTTATTTTTTTCTGAATAGCTTACAGACTTGTTTTACAATTCCAGCTTAAGAAATTTCAAAAGTTTACTGGCACCCTCAGCTGTAGATTCACCATCGCCTACAGTCCAAAGTATTGTCTGATTTTGTACTAGATACTCTAAATCAAATATATTCTAAAAATCTGCTAAAATCTGTACCAGTGATATAAACTATCCCTAATAACCCTACCGACCCACAATGGATCCTTGGTTAAATTAACCAAAACTAAGGAATATTCTTTCATGAGCTTGATGGTGTACTTGAAAGAAGTTTTATCACCTTGGGTCTTGTTGATGTCCTTAACTTACCGTCAAAGTTTGAAACCAAATTGAAATCCACCCGAATTATCTGCTAAATACATTCACCTCAGAGTTTAGGTAACCAGGGCCGCAAGTTATGAAATATTAAAGAGGTATTGTGAAAAATTACCGTCCTAAGCCCAATGTCGTCATGAAAAGCCTCCAAGTCTCGTCATAAGTTCGCGGCATAACAAAGGCTGCTCAAAAGGAGGATTTAGGGCTTGTGAATCGTAATAATTTCTATGAACTGAGAAAAGATACTTTAACAAAGATTAGCTGTGCAGAACTCATCCGGAAGTATAAATGTATGACCGATTTGCTTAGGGAATAAATAACAATTACTTAAGTAGATGAAAGCGATTTTTACTCTACAACCCACACCCTCTAAAAAACGTAACTCCAGCAGTGTAATAAGAAAATAAGCAGAGTTATATGAGACACCCTAGATTATTGTTAAATCAAACACCTTACAGATATGTTTGATATATTGTTACTAAAATGGATATCACCTGGCCTGACAACGGTGCACCAGGTTTTAAAAATCGCATTAGGAAACTGAAAAATAATCAAGAACAATATTGTAGCATATTCACCACTGAGGTATTTAAGTTGATTTATGTAAC